AATTGATAATAATTAACATTTTAAAATATTTTTCCCAGGTCAGTATGTTTTCCTGAATTATATATATCTTAGAGCATATGATTTTTTTAACTTGAGAGGATTTTCCCATGGATTGAATAGGGTAGCCCATTGTTTGGACCTGCCCCACTTCTATCAAAATAAACAACAACAACAACAACAAAGAAGACTTAATATTCACCTTCTCAACATCTGAGAGGGAGGTCAGTGAATGGTTCTGAAGCACTTCCGGAGCAGTGAACGCACGGAGGTCCTGGCTGGAGATGTTTTCATCTGTGAAGGACACACTGCCAGACGGCATCAGGAGCAGCGACCATGGAGAGATGATGAAGCCCAGGGCAGCAGGGTCAGCAATGCTCACTGGTTTGGAAAGCACCAAGTAAAAAGAGAAGAAATGATAATCGTTTAAAATTAGATTGGAAGACTCTACAGCCACCTCAATAAACATCCCACTTAAACAGCACAGACAATGATGTGCACTTTCATGACAAAATTAATAGGGTATGAGAGCAGGTGTCACCCAAGCATAGCTACTATCACTGTTCACAATGACGCCTTTATTTGGCTTCATCACTTAACATCTGGAAGGCAGATCTTAGAAACTGGTTATAAAAGTTAAACCTGGTCCAACTGTTTTATACTGATACATAGAAATGGAAGAAGGTCAGTACTTCTCCATTATTGATTAGGACTCTTTTGAGTACTCAAAGAAAACTGTAATTTCAGGACACTGTCTATAAACATAAAACATAAGTTCTAGAGTTTGCTGGCCTTCCCATGGCTTATTTTCAGATGACATTGGAAGATTAAGAACACTCAGTTTACCTAGTGTTTAGGGTGTCGGGGAGGGGAGCAGAAGTTGAAGCTGAGCATCTTCCCCTACAGCTCTCTCCACTCTATTGTTTGAAAAGTGCCTCTCAGTGAACTTTGGGCTCACGGATTGGCTATAATGGCTGGCTAGTACCCTCAGGGATCCCCACCTCTGCCTACCCAGTGCTGGGGTTACAGGCGCATGCTGCTATACTTGAATCCAAATTCAGGTTCTCATGCTTCCGTGTTTCAAAGGACCATTAACAACAGGGAAATTCTGCATATGCTGACGTCTTTCACAAATATTTACATAAATAAATAAAAATTTAGGCCCGTTAGATGGCTAAGTGTAAAGGCACTCTCTGCCAAGCCTAACAAACTGAGGTCAATCCCTGGGTTCCAGGGAGAACCAACTACTGCGAGTTGTCCTCGGACCTCCACACGGGCTGTGACACATGCAAGCCCTGCATATACACATAAACACACAGCACATAAGAAAGATATAATCTAAAACTAAAAAATAAATTCCAGGCACTTTGCACATTTTTTTTCTGTTAAAAACTTTATTTTGGTGTGAACAATCCGTGCATAATTCAGCTAGAAAGTGATTCACACGAGGCAGATGTATTCCTCAGAATCTTGAGATGTTGGAGACACATGAAACAGTCTAAAATTAATTCTATTCAGGTTATCCAGTCAGGGAACAAACATCAGGTGACTGAAGTCAATGCATTCATATCTGTGTGAGGAGATGGAGCCGTGCAGCCGGGCTGCAGCAGCAGGCTGTAAGAGCTGCTGCACTCAATGTATCCCAGAGGCAGTGATAACAGAACGTCCTGGAAGATCGGACACAGTGAGAGGAGGAGCAGAACTCAAGGGTGCCAAAGTTTGGATTGGAGCGACTGAAAAATGGTGTCGTATCAACCTTCACAGAGGAAACTATGGGTAACAGGCTGGAAGTGGGAGCTGGAAGGCGGGGGGCAGAGATGAGAACTCTTCTTTTGGGACTTATTAAAGACCTTTAAATATATTAAAATGAAGATTTCGAGTAGGCAGTTGGATTTGGAGTATGAGGTAAAATCAGGGCTGGATATATGTTTTTGGGAATTGCTGATGTAGTGGGTGGTACTGAAAGTCATGAGATTTGATCAACAATTAAATAAATTGAAGACCAAGGGCTGAGTCTTGGGGTATTCCCACCACGAGGACTGACTGTTCCTTATGCATCTTTCTTCCAGCAATCCGGAGTATGGTGTCACAACATCCTCTAATACCACCCATCAAAACGATGAGTCTTCCCACTGCTGTCCCCGTTCTTCAGACTGGCCTTTGTGCAGCTCCACAGTATAGAGGTTTGAACCTGAACTAGGAGTCTGGGACTCTACTCTTCAGGGCCAATTCTCTTGAAAACAGACTCTTTTCCTGTACTCTTTGAAATCATCGTATGTACACACTGGGTCTTGATCTCACCTGCGCCCTCCCCCACGACCTTCACCCAGTACTCTCTGGAGCCCAGGAAGCTGTCTGCTGCCTGACTTCATGCATTCTTTTTGATTATTACTATGACTGTCGTTACTTTTATAATTACTATCCTCAGGCCCAGCTAGTGCTGACCACACGGGCCTGGTGTGCGTCGCCCACAGGGCACTGGTGCCCACTGGCAGGCAGCAGAGGACGGGCTCTTGGCAGCCCCTGGCTTGGGGACAGTCCTTACCACTGCTGGGTGCCCGCTGCTGCTCTGAACGCAGAACTAACACGGAGGCAGAATGCTGCCCACAAGTCTCAGTGCTGCCTCGCTATCCAGGGTGCTGGGTTCCAAACCCGCATCAGAGGGCTGGCTGTCCTCCTCCTCTGCCCACAGACCTACCTTACCCTGCCTGCAGCATAGACTAAACTAGAATGTCCTGAGGATGAAACAGTCCACTGCCAGCCTGAGGTGGGAGTGGGGTGGGGGACTGAAGCGGGAAAACTAAATTTAAAAATCCATTCATGAGCAGGTGAGACAGCTCAGCAGATAAAGGCACTTGCTACCAAGCCTGAAGACCTGGGCTTAATTTCAGATCCATGGTGGAAAGAGAACTGACTACCAAAAGTTGTTCTCTGACCTCACACCTGTGTCTCTGCATGCATGTGTCTGCACACATTAAATAAAAACTAAATAAATACACAATGTAATCATTTTTTTAAATTATTGCTTATCACTTTAGAATGAGGAAATGTATTCATTCATCAGCACAGCCAATGTCATTTACAAGTATTATTATGGGAAAAAATATGCATTTAACTCTTGCCTTACACAATTGCTATTTGTGTGTGTTTATAAAATATCTAATGTATATTAATAACTTTAAGCACTACATATTTTAACATAGTATGATCAGCACTGCAGGTCACTTGTTATTAGGCTCCCAATTACTATTGGGGAGACAGAATATATACATAAATAAGCACAAGACAGAATGCATAAAATATCTGAGAAATAGGTAATAGAAAAAGTGGTTTTGTGGATAAAAAATTACCTCAACCTTAACACAGAAAATTTTCTTTCTTAACTATATGTGGTTTTTAAAAGGAGAACAAACACTTGAACACTGTTAATGTAATT